CCCCTCTGTGCCATGCACGGCCTCACTGCCCAGGCTGAGGGCTCTCTTGAAAAACACCCATAGAGGGTACACAGCCAGTCCAGGCTGTTGTTTTGGAAAATTCTACCTGAAATCATGCTTCTGTTACTTAATTTTAAGAGAGTTTAAAAAACAAATTCATGCACGGGCAGCCTTTGCTTACCCATTATCTGAAGCCAGAGCCAAAAGCTCTGACCATTGCCGGTGACCCTAAAGGTTTTCAGTGCATCTGGCAGGGACTTGACCTGTTGCTAAATATCTGTGTCTGTCTGCGGAGAGATTTCTCCCCCATAACGGAGCTAAATCTAGAGGACGAGATCTGGGCGAGGGCTTCAGCTCTACATATGAGTTAACAAACACCTGGGTCCTTTGTCATTTAGCCAGAAGAAGCAGACAGAGAAGAGGAGATGGAGCCTGGGTGCCACCACATCCCTCAGATGGTGTCCAGGAGACCCCTGCGAGACTTCGTGGGGCTGGAGGACTGCGACAAGGCCACCCGGGACGCCATGCTCCACTTCAGCTTCTTCATCACCATCGGAGACATGGACGAAGCCTTCAAATCCATCAAGCTCATCAAAAGGTGAGGATCCCGCCCACCGGGATGTCGGGAGATGGCGCGTGCTCACGGCTCTTTCCTTTCTCCACGTCTTCCTTCTTGGTTCGCCTGTTGAAATAGTTAACTTCTCGTGAGTGCGTCGTGGTGTATTTCATCGTCTTCCCACTTGATGAAATGCTGTCCAGCTTGCGGGTGCCACGTGGGAAGCTCTCAGCCTCTGTGGCGCTGGGAGCCTCTCGGGCTGTTTAGTTGCTTCCTAGTGGAAAGTTCAGCCATTCCTAAACATCCGTAATACCCATCCCTCTGGGAATAATTGCTCCTAAACAGAAGTTTGGACAAGTAAACGCTAAAAACAGCCAGGTGGAAACACAATTACAATTGCTCTAAAAGAGGTTGTCAATCAAGAGCTGTCTGCAAGCACCTTCTTCTTCATTCTGCAGAGAATCTAGAAATCCTTTCCTCTTCACGAGAGCCTTTCACAGATCTTAATGTCCAAAGGGTAGAAAATCAAAGAAGGAAACTAAACAGGTAAAAGAAGGGTGTGGCTTTAGGTTGCCCGGAGCAAGCTCTCCGTCGATGTGCCGTGATGATGCCTGTCACACAAGTGTCCGAGAGGGTGCAGGACCCCGGCCCACTGTCCTAAAGCAGCATGGCCAATCCTTCATTCCCCATGCCAGACCTTCCACACTAGCCGTGCAGATGAGCTCTTTCCAGTTTGCACATGCACCAGACAGGCTGAGCAGCACTGCCCGGCCCTCCTTGATTGCTTTGACTTAATATAAAGGTAGTTGCAGACCATAATTGACCTTGTGGCCAGTTTAAACCTTCCATGTGGCCAGGCGCAGTGGCTCACGCCTGTAATCCCCGCACTTTGGGAGGCTGAGGCGGGTGGATCACCTGAGGTCGGGAGTTCGAGACCAGCCTGACCAACATGGAGAAACCCCATCTCTACTAAAAATACAAAATTAGCCGGGCAGTTGTGATGCGTTCCTGAAGTCCCAGCTACTCAGAAGGCTGAGGCAGGAGAATTGCTTGAACCCAGGAGGTGGAGGTTGCCGTGAGCCAAGATCAGGCCACTGTACTCCAGCCCGGGTGACAGAGTGAGACTCCGTCCAGAAGAAAACAAAACAGAACAAAAAACCAATTAATTTCAGCATATGATTGGAAACAAAAATTCCTTGTCAGAAAAAAAGTTGAGCAGGGAAGATAAAAGCCAACTATCCATGCTAGTGTGTACCGTGGACGTGAAGCTCGGATTTCCACGCTGTGTGCTGCGTGTGTCACGGACGGTCAGTCCGTAAATGCTTTCCAGTCTTTATCAGTTGAAGACCAATTCCTGGAGCAGTATGGGCCTCAAAATCCAAACTGATCCCCTCAGCTCGCTGGAAGGCCAGAAGCAGCCAAACTAAACATTTATATTAGCAGCGGGTGGCCTGGTGGCCCGGCCCCGACTGTACACATCACAGCAGTTTCTCCTTCCGGCCGATGCCAGCAGGGAGCTCTGCCTTCAGGTGGCCATGGGGCCAAGCAGTGCCGCACCGAGGCAGAGGAGGCACCAGGCCAGGCACCAGGACTGTGGTTGCAGTGTGGCTAGGCAGCCTTGGGTTCTGGGTTCTGGGGGCTGTGGGCCAGTTTTGACCCCTCAGATGCAGATGTTAGGTGTTTTCTGCCCAACTCAAGGACTTACGGCTTGTTCCTCTCTTAACAGATTTAGGACACGGGGTTGTTTGGACCCAGTGCAGCATCATGCAGGCATTTTGTAGCCCACCAAGCATTTCACTAAAGATAGGCTGAAGGTTTCTTGTTTTTGTTTTTGTTTTTTGAGACAGAGTCTCGCTGTGTTGCCCAGGCTGGAGTGTAGTGACGTGATCTCGGCTCACTGCAAGCTCCACCTCCCGGGTTCAAGCGATTTTCCTGCCTCAGCCTCCCGAGTGGCTGGGACTACAGGCACCCACCACCATGCCTGGCTAATTTTTTTTTCATATTTTCAGTAGAGACAGGGTTTCACTATGTTGACCAGGCTGATCTCGAACTCCTGACCTCATGATCCACCCGCCTCGGTCTCCCAAAGTGCTGGATTACAGGTGTGAGCCATCACACCCAGCCTGGCTGAGGGTTTTTAAGCAAATAGACTCCTTCGCTTTTATTCTACCAGTTGTTGATCAGAGAGTCTGTAAGGACTTGGGCTTCTGAGACTTGGTTGAACAGAAGTGTGGATCAGGGTGTGTATGCCTACGGGGTCTCTGAAAAGGTCGTTTTGACCCTTAGTGTGAGCCCCCAAAAAATCACAGAAAAGTGGATCAAATGTTTTTCAGCCATGTCGCAGTATAGATGGATAGAACACAAGTTATAGACAGAGTTCAGAGACTTGCATTTATTTAATTTAGGAAAGGAATCGAGCAAAACAGGCACGAACACGATTCTGTCTGAAACCATCACTAGCTGGCTATAGATTATGACTCACTCAAGGAATATTGTGAATATTTTAAGAAAATTTTCCTTATTGGTCTGCTTTACAAAGTGTAAGACATGACTGGGCTGCCCCTCTCAGCAGATGCAGAATAAATTAATCCCAAAGCAAAGCAGAGCGCAGGGCAGCCTCACGCCACCTAACCTGTGTCTCAGCTTCCAGCCTCCACCCTGAAGCACGTGTGGCCATGGAGCCGCGTTGCGCTAACCAGGAAAGCTGGGAGCAAATGAGGTTGGCCCACAGCACGTATAGACATATGACCGACATAACAGTAAACACGCACGCGTCTCACACGCATGGCACAGAGGTCACCCAGACTCATCCCGTGCCTCTGCACAAGCAGGGGAAGTGACTTGGTGGTGGAGTCCCTTGGTTTCCAGGCTTTCCATGATAGCAGGTGCACGTCGATGGAGTCCTGAGAAGGGCGACTCAGCATGGTGACTCCACGTAGTCATTGTCCAGCCCACGGCGAAAGCGCGCCGTCAGGGAGCGGCTGATGACAATCACTCGGGGCGCCATGCAGTCCTCCCTCTTGTGGAGAATGTTCCAGATGAGCATGGCTGCCGCCAGCGTGGCCAGAAGGCAGGCACCAATGTTCAGGTAGCAGGACCAGGACAGGTTGGTGTACGGGCCAATTCTGTAGAAAGTCACCAGTCCGATAACCAGGACAAAACCTGCAGATGAGAGAGAAGGGTTGAGAGGCCTTATCTGAGAGGAAGGCAGGTTCCACTCCTTCCCCAGCCCTCTGTCCTAGAGCGGGTTCCAGCCTGCTTTACCCTTCCCCAGTCCTCTGTCCTAAAGCAGGTTCTTGCTTTATGGGGCAGCCGCCCCGGTGTTGAGCCACCTTGTTTTTTTTTTTTTTTTTTTTTTTGAGACGAAGTCTCGCTCTGTCGCCCAGGCTGGAGTGCAGTGGCTGGATCTCAGCTCACTGCAACCTCTGCCTCCCGGGTTCACACCATTCTGCTGCCTCAGCCTCCTGAGTAGCTGGGACTACAGGCGCCTGCCACCACGCCCGGCTAATCTTTTTGTATTTTTAGTAGAGACGGGGTTTCTCTGTGTTAGTCAGGATGGTCTCGATCTCCTGACCTTGTGATCCACCCGCCTCGGCCTCCCAAAATGCTGGGATTACACGCGTGAGCCACCGCGCCCGGCCTGAGCCACCTTGTATTAGCCCTTCTGTGGCTCTTAGGACTTTAGGCTCTAGCGGCTGTGGAGGGGTGGTGTGTGTCTGCTTAATTCTGTCCTGGCATGCTGCTCCTGTGACCTTTCCTTCAGGTCAGCACTGATGCTTGCAACACAAACTTGGGGGGCCTTTCCTAGCCCCCCAAACTCAGCAGTAATTTTGTGTTAAATCCATCTCTGACTTTTGTAAATGCTTAATTCGTTTAAAGTGAAAGTAAAAAGATATTTTCTAAGTCTTATCTGAAAACAGGTCAGTTTGGTGCTCCTCGTGCCCAGAGCTGTGCTCCTGACAGTTTCTCGCTCTTGGCCTTTGCTTTGGGAACTGCAGATGGCCTGGCATCTGCGGCTCGGGCAGGGCAGAGATGGGGCCAGTGCCTTGTCTAGGGCTCCTTGACTATATCTGGTGTCTTCCCTCAAAGTCAGTGCTTCTCGTTCTAGACCCTCCCTACTGCCTGGCGGATTTTCCTTCCATGCTTTCCCCTCTTTCCAGAGCCTGAAACCAGAGAAGGAGAGGTGGACCATGAGCAACCCTCGGTTGGCTCAGCTTGTTCCCGTCTAGTTAGTTGCTGATACCACAGCCACTTATAATTTTATCTTTAAGGAGCTCCACAGACTTTTTTAGTTCTTACAACAGGAAAATCAGGGTTTCATGCCTGGAATCTGCCAACTAGGATAACAGGATACTGTGGCTGCACCGATGGAGCTGGGTGTCCTTATCCAGCTGGAAACATAGGCTCTGGGATGGAGAGCCATCCATGTGGCCCTGCCCCTCCTCATCGCCTACAGCCATGGGGACATGGCCACATATTGTCCTGGAGGCCATGGGGCCTCCAGCCAGCCTTTAGCCCCAGTCCCACTTCTGCCTACCCAGCACCCCTCCCTCTCTGTTACAGTGACCTGAGTGGGTCTGTTTCTTGTACCCAAAGTGCCAGAGACTCTCTGTAACTCACACTGGTCCAGATTAAACTCTCCAGCCCCCTTGCCCACGGGGGACTCGTCCATGTTTCTCCCCAGGCTCTGGCCGTGCCGAGCCCCACGGCTGTCCCTCCGCCTGGTCTGCGTGTTGACACCTGTGCGTCTGTTCACGCTGGTCTCTCCACTCCCAGCCACCTTCCCTGCATTCCTCGGGAAACCAAATCATGTCCTGCCCTGTGTGGCCCCAGCATCGAGAGAGGACGGGAGAGAAACAGACACAGGGACAGAGACACAGAGAGACAGAGACGGAGACACAGAGAGACAGATGGAGACACAGAGAGAAAGAGACCAAGAGAGATACAGAGAGACAGACACAGAGACAGATGGAGACAGAGACAGACAGAGACAGAGGCGTAGGGAAGGAGAGACAGAGCGAGAGATGGGTAACCAGCCTTGT